TTCCATTGATTATGCAGGTTTGGGCCCTGGCGTCTGCGGCCACCAGCCAGGACCTGAGTCCGGACTCGGACCCGGACACGGAGACACCGTGGGCCAGACACCCATTCGGGCGCCACCTGCTGGAGACTCTGTGAGTTCACTTCACGATGAAGGTTGTATTTAGCTTTGTGTAGAGGTGGAAGAAGTACTGTTGGGGTCGGCGGGTCTGGATTCATTTTTTTTCTCTCACTATTCATTCAGACCTACTAATTGACCAATCAGGAGCTATTGAGTCTTTGTACGTTTACCGCCAGGCTCGGATCCACCAAGGTCAGCAAGGTCTCACCTCTACTAACTGAAGAACCAGGTTCAATTAACTGCTGTTTCCAGACGACACGCTACATCTGTTTAAGCGATCCTGTAGGATTCTAGTATCTGTAGTGAGGTGTGACCCTGCCTAAGTGTGACAGTCGTGCAATCTTACCTTAAAGCAGGAGAGGACAGCGCATAATTCATTTAGGTTACCCCAGTCCAAATGGGTGGGATTGTTTTATTTGAAGAAAATGGTCCAGAATTGTACAGGTTTTTTTTTCCTTCTCTCGTTACATTGTGACAATCAAAAAAGTCATACCCCCTCTGCCTACATTTTTTAAGACACCATCACTAATTCACATTTGTTTCCTTTTTGTTAAAACTCCCTGCATGTCTTCAGAGGAATTTCCTCATGATGACAACGGGTAAATACGATCTAGGGAGAGACTCCCAGTTATAAAGCCTAGGATGGATCCCTTTTTGACCATAAAACCTAAGATGGATCCTTTCTGAGTATAAAACCTAGGATGGATCCCTTTTTGAGTATAAAGCCTAGGATGGATCCCTTTTTGAGTATAAAGCCTAGGATGGATCCCTTTTTGAGTATAAAGCCTAGGGTGGATCCCCTTTTGAGTATAAAGCCTAGGATGAATCCTTTTTGAGTATAAAGCCTAGGATAGATCCCTTTTTGACTATAAAGCCTAGGATGAATCCTTTCTGAGTATAAAGCCTAGGGTGGATCCCTTTCTGAGTATAAAGCCTAGGATGGATCCCTTTTGAGTATAAAACCTATGGTGAGTCCCTTTAAAATACTCCTCAGAGTGAGTGAAGAACCCTAAGACCTTTTTTCCTCTCCCAGCTGCTGCTTTTATATCATACCAACAGAAGCAGAAGCTAATACACACCAACAGACCCATGTATGTGGAGAAGAGTCATTGCTTCCAGGTGTGAGACTGGACATGTCCAGACTTGCCTCAAATACTAAACTAAAGCTTACAGTAATATCCCGTTGAGTCAGGGGCCTCCTGCTGAGAGAGTAAGGGTGTCTTCCCTCTGCTGAATAGTGACACCTTCAGTGATAAGCTATATCAGACCTTACACTCTTTCATGTCAGTTTACCAAACCATGTACCTTTAGTATATAAGTATGTGCATTTTACATTGTGGATTCTATTAATTTTCGTTTTAATTATATAACCTAATATGGAAACCTTAACAGTACTCAGATCAATATCTTGAGAAAAAAGTACTAAAAGTAAAAATACTCAAAAGTCAGAAAACAACAGCAAATCAACATTACATTTATTTAGCTCACGCTTTTATAAGATAAGATAAGATGGAACTTTATTTAACCCTGTGGGGAAATTCAGGCGTGTATGGCAGCAACAGGTCAGAGTTAAAAACAGCATTCACACAAGGTAAAGACAAAATAGAATACAAATTAAAATAATAATATATATATATAATGTATCTAGAGAGACTTACAATAAGCAGCAGTGGAAGAAGTTCTTAAGTAAAATGAATACCACAATATAAACCAATCAAAAAATCCTGCAATGAAAATGTTCCTCAAGTAAAAGTAGAAAAGTATTGGCATCAAAATATACACATCAGTCAACTTTTACTTATATGTATATTTTGATACTTATTATGCAGCATTTCAGAATATAGAGATACTATATTATTGATTTTAAATGTGAATGTGTTCATCCAATCCAATCCACTTTATTTATATAGCACAGTTTAAAAACAGAGGGTTTGCCAAAGTGCTTCACAATGAACATAACATTATAATAAAATATAATATTACACGAATAGATAAAAAGCACACATAAGAATAAATACAAGGCACATAAAGGCTATGGACAGACAGTAAAAGCATACAAATAGGTATGACATAGCTCAGACTGACTGGTAAGCGAGGGAAAAGAGGTGGGTCTTTAGGCGGGACTTAAAAGCTTCAAGAGTGCTTTTCATCACTGTAAAGGTGCGTTTAACCTCAATGCATCTTCATTCATCTAATAAACCACCTAAATCTGCTTTAATCTAAATGTAAAAGTAAAACAATAGTCGTAGTGGAGTAAAAGTATAAGGTAGCACATAAAGAACATTTGCAATTGAGATATGTATCTTCTTCAAAGTCTGTTTTACTGCTTAAAAACAGCTGAGTCATGACATAAAGTTATCATTATAGTCAAATAAATGTTATTTATATAACCTATATCACACATTTTGTGTTAGGGTGCTTTAGCATACGACACAAGTGCCATAACATACTTCAACTGCTGCTTAATGTAATATGAAGCATTTAAGACAATAAATCTGCATTTCAAGTTTCAGATTAAAGAGATATCTTTAAAAGTAGAAGTACTACAGTGTATTACTCCATTACATGTACAATTGCGTAATGAAATGACTTTCTCCTTATTCACTTACCCTTTAATCGGAAGTGTTATATCTTATATTGTGCAGTAATTAATAAAATTAAAAGAAGTTGGGAATAACCCATTAAGATGTCATTTCCAACAACGATAATGCAATAGAAGCAACATTAGGCTAAGCATTTCATATGAAAGTCAAATAATAATGAACGCAACAACAAATATTTAGGCGATACAAATAATAAAACATTTCAGAAAATATCAGAAAATAAGATTTACAAAATCAGGAGATTATACTCCAGACATTTCAATTCACATATTTTTAAAGTTGGATTATCCTTTCAGAACACAAGCTGCTGTATTCACAGAGCCTCGTCCAGCTTTAGTAAAGCATCAAACAGCGAATATAACAAAAAGAAAACACCGTCAAAAAAGAAGCCTATCAATAAAGGTTAAACATAAAATACACAATACAAACAGAGATTTGTAATGAAGTACCAAAATAAGAGGAAAAACTAATCTGATTCAATATTTACAGACGGTTATCTAATTCAAATGTATTTAAATTTATCGTTTTACACAAACTTCCTGCAGTTATATTGCATTCACTATTTGTGTTATTTGATCAGTTTTGCTGTTAGTCTTCTTCGAGTCCGTAGCAATCTCAGATGTCGTTCTGCCAGTATCGGGCACAGGCCACAGCTGATGGGGTAGGTTCTGCCAGGTCTTCTGGACCGCACCGGGGGGCATCAGGACATTCCAGTAGGTGGGACATTGTCTGCACTGATCCACAGCTGCATGTGTCTTCTGCACCTCCCCCGTTCCACACGCAGTCTGTTAAGTGACTTCCCGGTTGTCCAGCCAAGGTCGTGGCCACTAGCGAGGCTTTCCGTAGGTGTGATTCCTCTGTCCAGCCATTCAAGAGCTCGTGTGTCATTTCTTTGCCATTCATCTTCCCAGACATTGGTCCTTGCTGCTTGTTTGGTTGTCTGGAGGGGCAGGACTGTCTGCAGAAAAATGGCTCTGGATCAGAGCCTGCGTGGGGGTGCTACGTGGCCATGCAAGGGGTGTCTGATGTCTGTCTCCTGTGTTCTCCGTTCATCTTGAGCGATACCTAGTCGTCTGATGTGCGGGGGAGAGATGCCGGCTAGCGCGTAGAGGCACGGGACAGGTGTTGTCGCATCCCGTGATGATGCGGCAGGTGTCATTCAAGGCTGTGTCGACCAGTTTGGTGTGACGTGATCGGCTCCAGCTTGAGCAGGCATACTCTGCTGTAGAGAAACACAGGGCCATGGCAGTTGCACAGATTGTTGGTGGATCTGCGCCCCACTTGGAGTTCACTAGTTTGCGCAGGATGTTGTTGCGGGTGTTGACCTTGGCTTTGGTGTTCTCCAGGTGTTTCTTGAAGGAGAGTGTCCTATCCAGTGTAACACTAAGATACATGGGATGCGTATGGTTGGACAGTTGTGGCCATCCCAGGTGACGCTCAGTTCTTTTTTAACGTCTCGGTTCCTCGGGTGGAAGCTGCATAGTTGGGTTTTTGATGGGTTAGGTTTCAGGTGGTTGTTTTTGTAGTAGCTTGACATTTCTTGGAGGGCACTTTCAAGGACAGGCTCAATCTTCTGGAGGTCTGCTTGTTGGGTGGTGATGCAGAGGTCATCTGCGTAGATGAAACGCTGGCATTCTGGGAGTTATCAATCAACAACTTTATTAATCCTGCAAGGGGCAATTGGTTATGAGCAGCAGTTTATGTCATGTACACAGGCAGGAACATACAAGAAGAAAACATACAGATACACCCGGGAGCACAGATGTGGATCATTCCAATTTACACTATCAATAGTTCTGGCTGGTCGTTTGTGTATATGTTGAACAGGAGGGGGGCCAGTACCCTACCTTGTGGGAGGCCGTTCTTTTGGGCTTTCCACTTGCTCCTCTGGTAATTTAACTGGACGTAGAAGAGCCTGTTGTTGAGGAGGCTTTTGATGACTTGACACAGATTCAGGTCACCAGTCATGTCCAGTAGTTTCCTGACCATTGTACGGTGGCATAGGCAGCAGAGAGATCTATGAATGCTGCTCCAGTTATTTGTTTTCCTTCAAACCCATCCTCAATGTGTTGGGTGAGGTTGAGTAGCTGTCCAGCACAGGAGCGGAAACCAGCTTGGTCTTTAGTCAGCTTGGTGTCTATGAGTGGCATGAGGCGTTGGAGTAGCAGACTCTCGTAGAGCTTGTAAGTGATGCAGAGGAGGGAAATGGGTCAGTAGCTCTTTGGGGATGATGGGTCTTTGCCGGGTTTGGGGATTGCAACCACTTTGGCCTTTCTCCAGACAGGAGGGATGGTTTTTTGTGCCATACATGTGTTCAGCATCTCCAGGAGCCAGGTCTTTGCGTTAGGTCCCAGGTGCTGTATCATTTCTGCCAGTACATCATCAATCCCTGCTGCTTTTCCGGGTTTCAGCTTACCCATTGCAGTTTTGAGTTCTTCTATGTTGAAGGGTTTGGTGAGAGGGCTGGCTGGTTGTGGTTGGTCTGATACCACTGTGCGATGGTGTTCTCCTGTGGGTTGGTGGCGGTGTTGGTTACGGCCGTTGGCCACCAGCTGTGATGCAACCGAGTTTGCTGTGACCGTTGTGATTATGGGTGGTGTGGTGTGGTCTTCGCCAAGACAGCGGATTGTAGCCCATGCCTTTCTGCTGTTATTTGTCATATTGGTGTTCTATAATTTCCTTCCAGACTTTCCTTCGTTCTTCCCCAACTTCACTGATCAGGGTCTCTCCAAGTTCCATGGTGGTAGAGGAGAAAGGGTCCTTATTATATTCCTCATAGTAGGCTTTCAGCAGGTCGCTGGAGGTTTCTGATAGCCCAGGAATATACTGTGTTTACTGTTAGTGTTATGCATTGACTATATCGTAAAAATACATAAAATATGTCACTTATGACTTCTCCATGATAGAAAAAGGCTCCGATAAGGAAAGATGTCGGCAACCAGTTTTTCACTTCTGTCTATTTGAGTTTGCATATCTCAACAATGTCTCCCCAATGAGAATATAACCCAATTCCAGCATACAGCGGCTGAGTGAACACGGTCTGGACTCTGTGAAGGAGGGTCATGGTTTCATCGATGATGCTGTAGTAGCACAGAATACCTGCAGTGTGATCGAGGTACACTCCCATTCTGGAGGACCAAGGACCTGAGACGGGAGTGATGACACTATTGTACACAAATATATATTTGTGTCTAAGGTCTAATGCCCAAGATTTGTCATTTTGTCCAAATGTAGACCACCCTGCTCTGCTGATGCTCTTGTATGCGACAGCTACAATGCTTCCTTGTCCTCTAAACTCCACCTCCCAGTAACAACGTCCAGTCAGACTCTCTCTGCTCAGGACCTGCCTATCCTCAGTGAATCTGTCTGAGTGACTAATATAATAGTCTGAATAACTCTTGAATTTTGCTACTCTGTTTCCGTTATATAAATGCAGCTGTCCATATGCTGTGTTTCGATCCAGAGTGATTTCTCTTGCATATTTTAAGAATCGGGCTCTGGTTGTGGCCGTAAAACTCTGACTTCAGTCAGTGAGATGTTGGTCCACTTGACCCTCAGGACCTTCTGTAGTTTGTCTCTGACCCCTGATAAATCCTCTGTCACATCCTCAAAGTATCTGAGAGGACGGGTGTTGCTGCTGGGTGAGTGATTGGTTACACTGAGGGCTGGCAGTGAAGAGTAGCTTTGCAGGAACTGGTTGTGATCCTCTGTGAGTGACAGCTGCTCTAGCTCAGCGTCTTTCCTCTTCAGATCATTGATCTCCAGCTCCAGCTTCGCCTGAAGCTCTTTGACTCGACTCACTTCCCTCTTCTGCTGGGATCTGACCTGCTGCTTCACATCAGAGCGTCTCTCCTGCATGATACGGATCAGCTCAGTGAACATCTTCTTACTTTCATCCACTGCTTCATCAGCAGAGCGACTGATGATCTCCGCCTCCTGCTGAAGCAGCTTCACATCTTCCTCTCGCTCCTGGATTCTCTGCTGGATGTTTAGTCGACTCCCCTCCAGCTCTCTCTGCCTCTCAGTCCTCTCTGCTGCAGCTGACACCGTGTCGTGGCCTTTGTGTTCGTCCACAGAGCAGAAAGAACAGATACTCTGCTGATCAGTGCGGCAGAACAGCTTCATCACCTCGTCGTGACGAGAGCAGATGTTCTCCTGGAGCTTCTTGGAGGGCTCCACCAGCTTGTGTTTCTGTAATGCAGCTGATTCATAGTGAGGGTGGAGGTGTGTCTCACAGTAAGAGGCCACACACTGCAGACAGGACATGAAGGCTCTCAGCTTCCTCCCAGTGCAGACATCACAGGCCACATCTTCAGCTCCAGCATAGCAGTGATCAGCAGGAGCAGCTTGGAGTCCAGTCTTCTTCAGCTCCTCCACTAAAGCTGCTAACATGGTGTTCTTCAGCAGGACAGGCCTCGGTGTGAAGCTCTGCCTGCACTGAGGGCAGCTGTGGACCTCCTCTCCATCCCAGTGGCTGTTAATACACTTCATGCAGTAGCTGTGTTCACAGGGGACCGTCACCGGGTCCTTCAGTAGATCCAGACAGATGGAACAAGAGAAGGTTTCCCGCTCCAGCTGAACTCCTCTCTGCGCCATTTCACTTCTCACTGTTAGTGATATATTCTCCTTTTCTCTGGACAGAAACACTCTGTGCTCCCTCTGCTCTTGTTGCTGAAGTGACTGAGGAATCCGCTGAGAGAAGCTCGATGTGAAAGGCAGGGTCTGTCCTTTTTTATACGACTTAGTTCAAAACTTTATTCTGATTGATCAATTTGGACTTCCAGAAGTTGTTAATACTTTCTAACACAAGGATCAGGGACTATGTGCAGTCATATCAATCCTCAGAAAGAAGTCTGGTCAATTTAACATCCGCTGTGGACAACAAAAATATATTTCTCCATCAAGTTTGGATTCATGATGGCTAAACTGTCCCCATTAAAGAAAGGAAACGAACAAGAGAAGGAAATACTTTAAAAGACAGATTGATGGGCGTCAACAGAAGAAGACAGACAGGAAGTAAACACTAAAGGGAACAGCAGAAGAAGACAAACAGGAAGTAAACACTAAAGGGGACAGCAGAAGAAGACAGACAGGAAGTAAACACTAAAGGGAACAGCAGAAGAAGACAGATAGGAAGTAAACACTAAAGGGAACAGCAGAAGAAGACAGACAGGAAGTAAACACTAAAGGGAACAACAGAAGAAGACAGACAGGAAGTAAACACTGAAGGGAACAGCAGAAGAAGACAGTCAGGAAGTAAACACTAAAGGGAACAGCAGAAAAAGACGGACAGGAAGTAAACACTGAAGGGAACAACAGAAGAAGACAGACAGGAAGTAAACGCAGAAGAAGACAGTCAGGAAGTAAACACTAAAGGGAACAGCAGAAGAAGACAGATAGGAAGTAAACACTAAAGGGAACAGCAGAAGAAGACAGACAGGAAGTAAACACTAAAGGGAACAGCAGAAGAAGACAGATAGGAAGTAAACACTAAAGGGAACAGCAGAAGAAGACAGACAGGAAGTAAACACTAAAGGGAACAGCAGAAGAAGACAGTCGGGAAGTAAACACTAAAGGGAACAGCAGAAGAAGACAGACAGGAAGTAAACACTAAAGGGAACAGCAGAAGAAGACAGATAGGAAAGTAAACACTAAAGGGAACAGCAGAAGAAGACAGACAGGAAGTAAACACTAAAGGGAACAGCAGAAAGGAAGTAAACACTAAAGGGAACAGCTCCCACAGAAGTGGATTCAAACATTACAGAGTTGCATATTAACGGTAAGAGTCTGAAAGTCTGAATGAGGATTGCTTGGGTTGTTTCTGGTTCAAATGGAGCTGTTGAAACATCTGCCAACCCGGAGCAAAAACAACTCCCTATCTGTGGATTCAGAGCTACACAGTTAGGTTTAAATTAATCTTTTTGTTGGAAAGAAGGACTCAGTACTTCCTCACTCTCATGTATAAGACCTTGAATATGCAAAAATATGAAGAAAAAAAAACGGAAAATATTTTTCCAGTAAAACCCATGTTATATTAATAATGTCCACTACTAATTATGTAGATCTGGTAAAGAACTGTGATTAAAATGAATGATAAAGTAAGAGAATACCTTCAGTAGATCCAGATATGCACTTCCCTCTGTCTGCTGTCTGCAGTGTGAGTCTCATTTCTTGATAAACGATTCCAGTCTGAGCAACAACAACATGTTGGTCACACCCATAGTTACACACACACACCCATAGTTACACATTACAACATTGTGGAGGACGAGGGGCTGCGATATAATTCGGGTCGCATCCAACGACTGCACTTATGAATCGCCTTCCAGAGCCACCACTGTGTCGAAAATACACAACTTGTATGAAGTCCAAAAAGCGAAAGTAGAGGACGATTTAAGAAAGACTTCCACAGTTGCGCTCACCGGAGACTATTGGACCACACACACACACACACACACACACACACACAGTAAATTGAGCTCTACGCTATTGTTGTTATGAAACATGAGATGCAATGCAAAGATATAAGATACAAATAATATTCTACTTTTGTATTTTGCAACAAAACAATATGATCGTAGAAAATGATTATTATCAAGCTCTTTACTACATTGCTGGATGAGGAGTGGCACTATCTGTTAACCTTTTCCACGACTGAAAACATTTCATTGCTTGGTCGTAAAATACTAAGGTTTAGCATCAGTCCATCTAAATCTAGCGCAGCACTTCTGAGTAAAGCTATGACAGAGGCTATTTTATTTCTGTTTGACTTTTTACATGTTGGATTGTTTATTTCTAGTCTTTTCATTTCTCTAATGTTCAATGCCTTGTCTTTTTATGCTGCTGCCACACAAACATTTCCCTAATTGGGATCAATAAAGTATTTATTTTCTCATCTTATGTTATCTTAATAACACGCAGGCCTGTTCAGATAAGTCAAAGTCCACTTTATTGTCAATCTTCCAGTTTGTGTGTACAGAGAGATCGAAATACCGTTTCCCACAATCCCAAATATAATAACAAATGGATATCATCTGTTCCTCTTTGACTGCTATTCGGTGCTTTTATTAACATGTATTGTCGTTGTATCGGTGAATGTGCTGGTATTTGTATGTTGCTATTTTCTTGCAGGGTGTTATTTGTAATGGTGGTGCATGTTGTTCTCTCTTCTGAGGCTGAACATATGTATATTCTTGAAAACGTTAAGAAAGAGACAGGAGCTTCTGAGATCCGCGTGTTTTACTCTAGACCAGAAAAGTACATTTTAAAAAAACTCAAATAGACAGTTGGTGTATCTGTGAGTATTTTAGTAAGAGCTGGATAGAAGAGTCTTTTGAAAAGAGAAGATGGGGTCGGTGTGTATCTGTAAAACTAAATTGTGTGTGTGTGTGTGTGTGTGTGTGTGTGTGTGTGTGTGTGTGTGTGTGTGTGTGTGTGTGTGTGTGTGTGTGTGTGTAGTCTGGATCACTACAGCCACATGAGTGACGTCCAGACTCTGGCCATGCTGTGCAGTGTGTTCAGAGCTCAGCCCCCCGCAGACATTTACTCTCTGTACGGACATCACCTCTCTCGATCCTCCGTCTTCCCCCCTCACCACTCTCGATATGTAAGTATACTGGCCTCTCTGAATCCCGCTTCTCAGTAATTCATCTCGGGACCACCAGGTGATGTCGAGATGTCTCACTAACATGAGCAGTGTGAGTCTTTTTCAGTCTAATAACGGCTGTATGTTTTGTAGCCCAGCATCACGTCCAGCACCTCCGACTCCGTCGCTGCGGGCACCTGGAGCTCAGGTCTGCATGTTTACATAATGTAGTTTTTTAATATTTGGTTTTAGTTTTTATATATATATATATATATTGGGTTTATTTATTTTTTAAATGTCAAGGTTTATGTATAAAGATTATATATTTATATTTAGTTTACATTTTTTTATACATTTGTTATATATTTAGTTTTATTGTTTAAACTTTTCTTATCAACTGTTATTTTCAGTTGTTATGTATTAAATGTGTTTTTTGTGTGTGTTTATATATGTAGTGTATTTGTATCCTTACCCAGGTTGAACCCATATTATTATTGTGTGCAGGTAGAGACTGTGAGCAGGTCAACCCGTGGGCCGAGTCCTCTCCGGACGACCACCGCTGTGGCCCCCAGGGGCCGAGCGACCCCCGGGAACGAGAGCGAGAGCAGCACGACATGAACAAGAGGTGACGTAGCTTTAAAGAGGACGTGCAGGAGTGGGGGAAAAGATAGCGGACATTTCTGTCACAAATTATGTGCGAGAAATAAAAGTATAAATATACATTTTTATGTATAAATGCTGTATATTTTGAATATTTGTACATATATTAAATACATGAATATTAATATTTATTTTGAGATATTTTAGTGTATATTTAGTCTTAGTGTTTATACATTTCTTAAAAATAAATGTTTTAACAATTAGTTTTAATGTCTATATATATATATATATATTTGTAAAGGTTTATGTATTTATTTGTTATGGTTATTCATACATTTATAGTGATCATATATTTAAAACATAATGTTAGTATTTCTATTTATATGTTTTATTTCTGTTTCTAGGGCTGTCAGTCGATTCAAATAGTTAATCGCACATTTTTTATCTGTTCTAAATGTACCTTAGAGGGATATTTTTCAAGTTTTGAATGAGTCCAATAGTCTCCGGTGAGCGCAACTGTGGAAGTCTTTCTTAAATCCTCCTCTACTTTCGCTTTTTGGACTTCATACAAGTTGTGTATTTTCGACACAGTGGTGGCTCTGGAAGGCGATTCATAAGTGCAGTCGTTGGATGCGACCCGAGTTATATCACGCAGCCCCTCGTCCTCCACAATGTTAATTGGCCTGCAAGCTGTAGCCACCCATTTAGCAATCTTTGTTGAAAGTTTGCTGCTCGTAGACGTGTCCGTCTCCTCCGCACACTTTCAAGTGTGGTCTGCCGCAAGCTGTCGGCATCAGCAGCGTGCTTGGATTGTATAGATGGTATTTTAAACTCGATGCGCTCTGAAACTATGGGGCGGCCGAGGACAAAAAATGCACATGCGTTAAAATAATTAGTGGCGTTAATTTTTTTTGTTATTAACGCGTTAACTTGACAGCCCTAGTTTATACATTAATAACATTAATTGAAAGAATATAAAAACATGCTTAATACCTCAAGTATTTGTTGTTTCATATAATGTTTGAAAACTGTTTTTTTTTTTTAAAGTTCACGGATGGTGTAATCTAGAACCACCTGTTGTGAGGTACAATGTGTTAATAAAGTTGTATGTGCTTTGTGACATCACTTCCTCTTCCAGACTGCTGGACCCGACCAACACGCTGCAGTTCGACGACTTCAAGAAGAGTTACGGAGAAATCCTTCACCGCTGGGGTCTGAGGGAGAAGAGAGCCGACGTCCTCAAGTTCGCCTCCTGCCCTCCTGAACCCCACAAAGGCATCGGTGCGTCCCTCTAGCGCTGCTGCAGAGATGCCTTATAATATATATATTAGGGCCGGGACTCGATTAAAAAAATTAATTAGAGGCTTTGTAATTAATTAATCGAAATTAATCGCATTTTTAATCACATATAAATATTTGACCTAAGAACAGTGAGAAGCAATTTTTTTCACATGGATTTTAGTATACCATTAGGCGCATTCACACCGCAGTACTTTTCCCACAAAGGTTCATGAGAACTCTTTGAACCTGGGGGTGGATTAGGCAAATGAAGCCGCTGACGTCACTTGTTCTTCTTCTGCTTTGGGTTTACTGGCAGGCCGCAAACCACTTCACGGCGTATACTGCCGCCCAAAGTCTCCGGCCGGAAGTCCCCGGAGTTGGGGAAGGCTTCAGTAGAAGCTGCTGGGACTCCCAGCAGCTTCTACTGAAGCCTTCCGAGTAAATCGCCAGAACGCCGACACCTCCTCATCTCCACCGCTCCCATGTTTTATTTTGTGTTGCCATAAGTTAGTCTCTCTGCGTTTCTGCGCTGGGCTAATGCTAATGCTAATAATGCTAATGCGAGGATAATAAAATGGCGGCTTCACAAAACTCTTTGGGAGTTTTACGGGGCGTGGTTTGCAATCCGCCCAGCCAATCAGAAATATAGCTCTTTTCTCACAAGAGAGCCGTACGAAAGTCCCTGCTCTCTAGCAGCTCTCTGCTCTCTAGCAGGGACTTTCGTGGGGGTAAAAAGGTTCTCATGAAGTAATTTGAGTACCGGCTCTTTTTGGCGTGAACGCGATAAAAGAGGCTAACGTCCACGCTAGCTTCCACGCTAGCTGCTATATGTTTTGCATTGAGGTGATACTTGAGGCTTGATGTGCTGCGGTGACATGCGAATTCCTTTTTGCATAATTTGCACACAACCGTGCTCTTATCGACGCTTCCATCCGTCCGTTTTTTAAAACAACATTTCCCACTGTTGTTCACTGTGGTTTGTTGTTGTCTGAAGTCATGAACGTTAGTTGGTGCTCCAGTATAATCGGTACGCCTGAAACTCATCCAGTGAGAAACGTTCCGCGGTGCAAAAATAAGTGCGATTAAAATGCGTTAATTTTTTTAACGCGTTAATTTTTGTGTAATTAATTAATCTTAATTAACGCGTTAAAGTCCCGGCCCTAATATATATATAATGTGCAGCGAGGCGTCGTTATTGGAAAAAAGAGCATGGTGATCATGGAGCCCGACGCAAAGTGGAGGGATCTTGATCACCCTGCTGTTCCCTTCCTGTCTGTCTTCTTCTGCTGTTCCCTTTAGTGTTTACTTCCTGTCTGTCTTCTTCTGCTGTTCCCTTTAGTGTTTACTTCCTGCCCGTCTTCTTCTGCTGTTCCCTTTATAGTTTACTTCCTGTCTGTCTTCTTCTGTTGTTCCCTTTAGTGTTTACTTACTTTGTCTTCTTCTGCTGTTCCCTTCCATCTCTGTCTTTTAACCTCTTTCCTTCTCTCCCTTGTTCCTCCTCATCAACGGTCATTATTTTTGCTTAACAGCGGTGTGTTATCGAGTATTAGCAACCTCTGAAATGTCCGAATCAGACCAATCAGCATTGAGTATTCAGCTAAGCCGTGTGATTTGTAATGTTTAAATAATCAGTATTCTACAATACCCAGAGTGTGTGTGTTCTCTCTGTGCAGAATTCGGTGTGTACTGCTGTCACTGCCGCAGTCAGGCTCGTGGGACTCAGTGCGCTGTCTGTAAACGCCTCACCTTCCAGTGCGCCATCTGCCACGTCGCCGTCCGCGGATCCTCAAACTTCTGCCTGAGCTGCGGACATGGAGGACACACGAGTCACATGATGGACTGGTTCAGGCGGCAGGACGAATGTCCGGCCGGCTGCGGCTGCCACTGCCTGCTGCAGAGCACCTTCTGACTGCTCAGGAACAGAAACAAACACACCTGCAGAGAGGGGTATCTGATGTAGCGTCTACTAATTTAAATAATGATTCACTGACAGATTAACATAAAATCATAACACAGAATATAGATGTGTGAAATGGGTTGGTTTTATTCTGGCATATTTAGAAAAAGTAACTCATAAGAACAAAGAGCAAACATTGTTAAATAAATACTTCCAGTGGACTGAGGAGGAAGGGTGATCCTTTATGTTATTATAAAATGTGTTTATTTGGCATATAATACTATAATAACTGATATTAATACATTAATAATTATACATAAGCACTGGATGGAAATCAACGGCAAAAATAGGTAATTAATAAAGAAATCATTTCAAGCAGACTTCCACATGTCTTGGTACTTCCTGTTTAAATGTAATTGCTATTACTTTGCATAGCCTCGCCAGCTTTATCAAACTTTACTGACAAAATAAACAGTTGCTAAGCTTTTAAATGAACTGTTAAGCTGTCACAGTTGTTTGGAGCTGCTGCCGGGTCTGCTTAAAAAAAACACAACAACAATCTTTTTATAATTCCCCTCACTGCCTGAACGTAGACACAGGTCCGCACTGTCTGACCACAGGGGGTTAAACAATAGCTAACGTTTATTAGCTAAACAGCAATAAGTGATGGTGCACCAGGAGCTACAGTGCGGGCCGCCAACAGCAATGTAAGATAGTGTCGGTGTTTCGGGTCAGAGCCGGATCCCAGCTGAACAGCTTGTGGGACACAGCAGGAAGAAGTTTTAACACAGCGAGTCCTTCCTTTTCAAAAGGAGTTCACTTTATTAACCTGTTAAGCCGAGAGCCCCCGGTAGAGGGGGTTTCACTAGGGTTTCCCACACATAGACTATACTTGGGCCGCCCAGGTATATTAACGGCCGCCCAAGTATATTTCGCGACCCATTTAGGTTTTTTATAATTGTTTTTTTATTCGTCCGTGACCACGACGCCATCTGCGATCGATTAACTTGTGGACAATGATCCCTTGCTCTGATCTCGCCTCCTTCTGGCCTGTTAAGTGGTCTGCCTCACACAGGGTGACTGGCTGTCCACATGATGTGGCCTGCCGACATGGCCACTGTCATACAGATCATAAATCAAAGCCCTTGATTGGTCTCTGTGTGTAATTCAAGCTCGGGATAACCTCAGCTCAGGTGAGGTAAAGGACTCTCTGAGTGTTTAGATAGTGAACTTAGTCTAAGTTCTCAGTGGGTCTCAAACGGTGTGGTCACCATTTATGTAAACACATATTTCCATTTGAGAGGGTAGTGATTGGTCTAATGGATAGTGAGGTGGGCTGAAGATCGGAAGGCTGTGAGTTCAAATCCCGCCAGGAACACCACCACTAGTGTGCCCTTGAGTAAGGCACTTAGCCCTTAGTTGCTCCAGGGAGAATGTCCCTGTAATCGGTCATTATAAGTCGCTTTGGATAAAAGCGTCAGCTAAATGAAATGTAATGTGATTAGTAAAATATGCATGAATAAATAAATAAAAGTTAACTAGGTGAAAAAAGGTAAGATACACTTTTAAAACTTGTTGAGAGAAAACTAGTCTTTGCTGCTGCCTCAAAGATGAGCAGGGGGAGAGGAGGGAGACATGAGAGGCTGTGGGAAACACTGGGTTTCACGGCTTCTTAATATTCAAACAGCTATTAATGTGTCATACCAGATTAACGGGAAGAAACTCAGCTAACTGACAATACAAACCATTTTTACCAAAACAAAACACAAGTCTAAATTACCCCTGAGCGAAAAAATGCTGACGCACTTAGCCCAGAACTCAAGGTAAAAATACCCTTATAACTTATCGTAACTGCACATACAAGATATCAGATTATATGGGTATTAGTATCATCACTGAGCGATCAGAACTCGCGACAGGGGAAGCAAACACAGACATCCCAACATGTAGCATTACGGAGCAAACACGGGTGATCGTCTCACCTTAGCTAAAGTCGTGTTCAATGGAATTAAAACGATAAAAACGCGGCTGAAGGTTAATCCAATGTGTGTGTCACAAAAATTATTTATAATTCAATTTTTATGTAAAAATCAGAGAATTTATATTAGCTGCTAATGAGAGCAACCAGAGTGTATCGCAGCTTCCGGTTCCGGGGCATTCTGGCTGTGCAGCACTCATTCACCAATGGGTAATGTTCAGATGGATTTTAGGAACTTCCCCTCGATTGTACTAGCTCTAACGGTTACAAAGAGGTGTCAATCATCAAAATAAAACGAGGGGGCCCAGAGATATGGAAAATCCACCAAAGTGACCCCAGAAGTGTTTTTTTTCTTCTAAATCTCAAATTTCACTTGTTTTGCATCAATCTTGATACAGGGTACTTATATGTTATAGTTTAATTTTTTACTATGTTCAATCTGAATATACTTTAAAATAAAACATCTATATTGATTCTCACTTCTCTACATCCAACTCACAGGTGTATCATTACTTTGAGAAAAAAGATTATTAATATACCCCTTTTAGAAGTGAAGATATGGTCATTTGTTCAGGGAATTGTCATTTCGAGCCTGAAACCTGACAAACAGGCTCAGGGCTTAACAGGTTAACAACGATTCTTCAAAAGCATCACGATGAAATGTAAACTCACATTAGCTAGTGATATCAACTAAACGATAAGAAATCAGCCATTGCTTTTTCTTGTCACTTTGTTTTTTTATGTCTACGATTTGGGTCACAAACTGAGCAACCAAATGGTTTTTCTCACGTCTCTTCAGACTGTCTTTCAGGCGTAATATTTTTTTTAATTATAAAGTCATGTTCTTGGCTGGTTCTGGTTCTCTGTCAGTGTCGCCATAAGTGTTGGTTACTTTTGTGTTATTAGAGCACAATGGACTTGTTTCTGTGCTTAATATTTGTTTTAATGCACATTCAGACTTGACTTAGAGCAATGATGTTTTATCACATTTAGAGCAGGTATCACGTTATACACACTTACTGGGACTAACTCAAAGAGTTTAAACCTAATAATAACTGTCTTCAGTGTCAGGTTCTGAAGAGTCTTCAGGGTTATCCTCAGTCTCTGGTTGTAATTGTCTCTCTGGATCTGAGTTCCTGGCTGGTTCTGGTCCTCCACAGTCCTCACCATCAGCTTCTGTTTGCATATGCTCAGCTGAGCTGCTGGCTGGAGGCTCTGCCTCTCTGATCTCCTCAGTTTGAGTTTGATGAAGCTGTGAGGACTGACGACCAACACACTTATGGATTTTGACCTGATATCTCTGCGTGAATCTTTTGTCACAAATACTGCATCTGAATGGTTTCTCTCCTGTATGCATTCTCATGTGTGTTTTTAAATATCCTCTCCGTTTAAAAGATTTATCACAGACTAAGCAGCTGAATGGTTTCTCTCCTGTATGGATTCGCAAGTGGTCCTGTAAAGTTCCACTGTGTGTAAAAGAGTTCTCACAGACTGAGCAGCTGAATGGTTTCTCTCCTGTATGGATTCTCATGTGGCGCTTCAGAACTCCTCTCCGTTTAAAAGATTTCTCACAGAGTGAGCAGCTGAATGGTTTCTCTCCTGTATGGATTTTCATGTGTTCCTTTAAATTTCCACTCCGTCCAAAAGAGTTCTCACATACTGAGCAGCTGAATGGTTTCTCTCCTGTGTGGTTTTTCATGTGTCGTTGTAAAGGTCCTCTCAGTGCAAAAGCTTTCTCACAGACTGAGCAGATGAATGGTTTCTCTCCTGTGTGGTTTTTCATGTGTCGTTGTAAAGGTCCTCTCAGTGCAAAAGCTTTCTCACAGACTGAGCAGCTGAATGTTTTAACTCGGGTGTGTATTCTCATGTGTCGATGATAATTTGCACTCTGTGCAAAAGCTTTTTTACACACTGAGCAGCTGAATGGTTTCTCTCCTGTATGGATTTTCATGTGGTCTTTTAAACTTCCACTTTGTGTAAAAGATTTCTCACAGACTGAGCAGCTGAATGTTTTAATTCGGGTGTGTATTCTCATGTGTCGATGATAATTTGCACTCTGTGCAAAAGCTTTTTTACACACTGAGCAGCTGAATGGTTTCTCTCCTGTATGGATTTTCATGTGGTCTTTTAAACTTCCACTTTGTGTAAAAGATTTCTCACAGACTGAGCAGCTGAATGGTTTCTCTCCTGTATGGATTTTCATGTGGTCTTTTAAACTTCCACTCTTTGCAAAAGATTTCTCACAGACTGAGCAGCTGAATGGTTTCTCTCCTGTATGGATTTTCATGTGGTCTTTTAAACTTCCACTCTTTGCAAAATATTTCTCACAGACTGAGCAGCTGAATGATTTCTCTCCTGCACTACGTCTTGAATCACTGAAAAGGTCTTGATTATTTGTCTGAGAGTTTGAACCTGGTTCTCTGGTCTCCTTCCAATCAGCACCGTTTTCAGGGTTGTCCTCAGTCTCTGGTTGTAAATGTCTCTCTGGATCTGAGCTCCTGGTTGGTTCTGGTCCTCCACAGTCCTCTCCATCAGCTTCTGTTTCCACGAGTTCAGTTTGTGTTTGATGAAGCTGAGAGGACTGAGGTTTCTCTTCATCATCTTCACTCTTCACAGGGACAGGAGTGAATGTGAACTTGATGATATCAGCCTCCTCCAGCCCTTGAAGCTGCTCTTCCTCCTGACTGCTCCAGAGTTCCTCCTCTTCCTCTTTAATGTGTGGGGGGGGCTCTGGGTCCTCCTGGTCCAGACTGCAGCTCCACTCCTGCTGCTCAGGGGGAACCTCTTCTTTAACAACCACCAGCTGCTCGACGTCTGCAGGAAACAGGAAACACACGTGAACTTCCGTAAAATCTAAAATTCTGTCTTTCTAAAAATCTCAGGCTAAGAAGATAGATGTCGATCCCCTATTGATTTACATTTAAATATGTTTGGGGACTAATAGAATGTTTACACAGCTGTTGTGTTTTAAAAAACTAAACAAAAATTGATGTTTCTAGATCATTGCATTTTACAGCTGAACATGTTTAAGGTTATCCAATTTACTATGGAGGGAACCTACCAAAAATAAAAAAATTCATTAAATGAACCGAATAAATAAATGTAGGCATTATTTGATCGGTGAAATGTGACATGAATTTATATTCTTGTTTTAATTTTCTATTTTAGCATTTCTTCTGGCAATAATATTGTAGAGTAATATTTCAGATGTATTAAAATCATAATAAAATCTAGGTAAACATTGATTTATTTTACCCCAAGAGCTATCCAATACAATTAATAAAAAGTCTAAACTGTTAATAGAGTCAGTTTATATATAGAGAGAGTGAACAGACCTGCTCTGTGGATCTGAAGCTGAGGCTGTAAAACAGCGTCCAGTAGTTTCCGGTGTCTCTCGTTCTCCTGTTTTGAACGAGACAGTTCCTCCTCGTACTCTGCTATCGTTCTTTCAAACAGAACAAAGATGTCTTCAGCAGCCGCAGTGAGTCGCTGCTTCACCAACGAGAGCAGCACAACACTCATGTTTACTAAATCACCACTTCCTGTTAAACACACTGTTTCTCTGAAGCTTCAGTCTCTGTTGAACACACTGTTTCTTCCTGAGCTGCTGGACAGCAGGAAGCAAAGGTTTGGGAGGATGATGTCCCTGATGCTGTTTTGATTTCTCCGCACCACGGGGGGTCCTGTGTGGATGGCAGCTCCTTCCTCAGCAGATCCAGTTCTTCAGAATTGTCCTAATTACAGAGAAAAGAGAAAAAATGATGTTGTTAAACCCCGCCCGCGGGGTTTAACAACATCTTGCAATAAACAGCGTCTGAGGGCTTCTTAACATTTAATAAACTATGAATGTGTCATACTCACTTAACGGGAAGAAACTCAGCTTTCAGACAATATTAACCTAAATGAAACAAAAGAGTGATAACAAAGGCTCTGAATTAGCACAGAACTCAAGGTAAAATACCCTTATTACTTATCGGATTAGTAAACTGAGATTCCACAGATTCCAGACGTATAAGTATCATCAGTGAGCGATCAGAACTCGCGACAAGGGAAACAAACATAGAAATCATAACACGTAGCATTAAGGAGCAAACACGGGAGAAATTCTTACCTATGCTGTTGTTCTGATCAAAAGTCGTGTTCAATGGCATTAAAACGATAAAAACGCTGCTGAAAGTTAATCCAATGTGTCTGTGTCACTTTGAAATGATTACTGATAGATAATCGATCTTCATATTTATGTCAATAACGGAGATTTCATATTAGCTATTACAAGAGTGTATGACAGCTTCCGGTTTTGGGCATTCTGGCTACGCAGCACTCATTCACCAATGGGTAATGTTTAGATGGATTTTAGGAACTTCACCTCGATTCTATTGGCTCCAACGGTTACAAAGAGATGTCAATCATCAAAATCGAACGAGGGGGGCCAGAGATATGGAAAATGCACCCAAATGACCCAGAAGTGTTTTTTTCTAAACCTCTCTAAAAAGGTCAAATTTCACTTGTTTTGCATCAATCTTAATACAGGGTACTTATTATATGTTTCGAATCGAAATATCGATATATATATATATATATCGCAGGATCGATTAAATTGCACAGCCCTAGATGGGGAGCACTGCAGTGAGTAGCTGATTTGAACAGGTGGGTTTTTAGTTGGGATTTGAATTAGGGCTGGGCGATTTGGCCTAAAAATAAAATCGCGATTTTTTTCTAACTAATGGACAATTTTCGATTTAAACCTCGATTTTTTTCTGTTTTTTTCTAAACAAACCAGACCAAGGCTCTTTTAAGTGAACGACGGGAGCCGGCTCTCGCCCGCGAACGAACCGTTTTTTTTGTTTTTTTTTGCGGAGGGATCTAGATCGGCACGAAGGCACATTATGCAATGTGCACATCATCCCGCTTATTACACATGGCCACATTCTCAACAAAGTAACGACATGACTCCCAATAGTAATGGAAATGCTTTTATGGATTTAGAAAATGATTTTATTGATTTAAAAAATAGTTTTATGTATTGATTTAAATTGACAAGCATCCGCTAAGAAAAGTAGTCCGTTGTTACCGTTTGAACTAACGTAGCAACGGCAGGAACTGCTTCGATAGTGTTTTTTGAGGAGCTTTTTGATTACAGATTTGAAAACATCGTTGCTTGCTTTAAAAGTAGCACACTTCATGATGTCAGACCTTGGGAAGTATCTAGATATCCCTGCCCTAATGCCAAAGTAACTGCCAACTGAATATGTGTCGCCGTTTGATGTCTATGTCTGGACCGCTGCGTAAAAAGGAGGGTTTCTGCCCCATTACTTCTCTTCTTCTATAAGAATAAAACACGGAGGACGGAGATCTCTTTTCCTCCCCCTCTACAGACCGCCCAGCAGCTGATCTCAGAGCACCTCCCCTCTCCTGCAGGGGGGCGTGGTCAGCTGCAGCTCACAGAATCAGCCCCCTGCAAAAACAGCGCTGGAAAAAGCAAATGGAGCGAAATGAGGCATGGCTAAAATGCAAGATATTTTTGGTATTTTGAAAAAAAATAATATTTATATACTTTATATAGGTCGATACAGTAGCCCCCTTTTTTTTTTTTAAATAGTTTGTATAGGTGTTGCTATCTGTTTTGTGTAGCGTGGTTCTACAAGCAAGTCAATGCATTCATTGGGTGGTATCAGAGATTTACACGGGTCTGTAAATGCAATGAAAACAATTGGCCACAGCAAATCATTTATATTAAACTTTATTACTCTGAATACTTCAGTACAAAGGATGTATTGAATAATTTAAGTGATATATGTTTACACAGAGCTGCAGATCGGGTAGTCACAGGCAATGTGGCTGAGTTTTGTGCGCGTTCTGGAAAGTGAGAGAGTAAGCTACTAAGCTTTAAGTCCCTTAAAGCAAAACAAATCTGCGGAGTCTAGAAATGTTTTTAAATCGCGATTTTTCGGTTCAGCCATTTCACAAACCGTAGGAAAGTAAAAGTGCAAATTAATCGTTAAAACGAAAAAAAAAAATCGCCCAGCCCTAAATTTGAATATGGTGATTGTGTCAGACTGTCTGATGTGTGGGGAGAGGGATTTCCAGAGTCTGGGAGCAGTGCAGCTAAATGTCATCATGATGCAGCAAATCTGGATCAGCTCCGTTGTTCCCCCGTTTTTAGCGATGTAGGTACGGAGGAAAAGAGAGGGTTTTATTTTCTGACACTTTGTGAGTCTTCTTACACACCGGGGACACATATTTATGTATAAAAGACAATAAGTTAGACCCGATACTCACATGTATCAATTATTAAAGTAAGTTAAACTGTAGAGTCGATGAATGGGAGTTGGAGGCGGCGTGTTGAGTATGGAACTCCACACTTTATTTTCCATTAGTTTACAGAAAGGTAGGAACAACTTCATTACATGCTACTCAAGCTAGAATGATAAAAAAAACCACAGGTGCGCCCTAACAGGTCCGTGGCGCAACACACTCTATAACACAGTGAATTATGTCCCGTAATGTTCCACCACACAAGCCTCCCCAGAATTCACCCATACACAAAGTCTGTGCGGCGGGGAGGAACGACAGGCCGATCACCACGACTCCGGAAAACGGGAGCCGGGGAGGCAACCCCTGCAGGGGCGGCCGCCGGGAGAGGTGGGACCGGAACCACAGGCCCCAATTCGGTGACAGGGGTCAAGGCTGGGCGACGCGGAGGCCGTGCCAGCACCACCGGCTGGTCCAAGTCAAGGTGAGCGACCTTAACTCGGTCCACCGAGATGTGCTTGGTCTTGCCACCCAGGTCGACCACCAAGTGCTTGCCCCTGTGTTCCAAGCCCATTGTAAGGGGGCTGCAGGGGGCCTCTGTGAGCGTTGTGCCGGATGAACAGGTGCTCCGCCAAGCAAAGCTCCACGGGAACCCGGGACCACTGAGTTCCATGCTGAGCAGTGGGGATCGGAGCAAAGGTCCTGCAGGAAAGCCCGCTGGGCCATCACCGACCAACTTAACCCCCAAAACCTCTTGCCACGGCGTTCCAGAGCTCTGAACTGCGAACCACGGTCTGAGGAAATGTCTGAAGGGGTGCCGAAACGACACACCAACGTCGTAATGAAGGCCCGGTCTATGCCGCTGTCGACGCGAGAGGGACCGCCAACGGGTCATCCTGTCTACCATAGTAAGGAGGTAAGAAAATCCCAGAGAGGAGGGTAATGGACCAACCAGATCGATGTTGACGTGGTCAAACCTCCTCTCAGGCACCAGGAAACGCTCCAGGGGGGCTTTCGTGTGGCGGTGCACCTTAGCACGCTGGCAAGCCACGCACTTGCCGGCCCAAGCCTTCACGTCCTTTTTGAGCCCCCGCCAGATGAAACTTCGCGGCCACCATCCGCAACCGAGGGCTTTCCCGCCGGGGTGCGACATGTTGTGCGCTGGCCTCGAACACGGAGCACCTCCAGCTGGTGGGAACGACTGGACATTGCTGGCCCGTGGAGACGTCACACAGGAGAGTAACGCCCGCGTCACCGAAAACCACATCCTTCAGGGCCTGGACGCTGGGGTCTATGACCTGGTCCGCTGCCATGCGGGTATAGTCGAGGCCAGAGTTGGGTGTAACGCGTTACTTTGTAATAATATTACTTTTGTCGGTAACGGAGAAAGAGATGAGTTTTCAGTCTGCGCCGGAAGGTGTGTAAGCTATCTGCTGACTGCTATCTTACAGCTATCTGCTGACAGCAGATAGCTTACACACCTTCCGGCGCAGACTGAAAACTCATCTCTTTCGACTCCACTTCGAGCGATAGAACTATTAACAAAGCACTTATATACTAATAAAGCACTGGCTTATCTAAAGCCAGTTGAGTAGCACTTGAAATGTTTTGGCTCTATGAAGCCTGATGTACTTATATGATTCTGTTTTCTTCAAGTTTGTATTTTGTTGGTCGAACGCACTTATTGTAAGTCGCTTTGGATAAAAGCGTCAGCTAAATGCAATGTAATGTAATGTAACGCGTTACTTTATAATTCAGTAATCACATTACAGTTACTAACATTGCCCCGTCACGCGTTACTTCATTACTTACTAAAATCAGTCATAATCGTCACACTGACAGACAAGAGGGGTTTCCGCCGCAGGTTTATATGTATGTAATCTGCGCGCGCGTCCACATCTCCACGTGCAGTGCTGCATAAACATGGCTGAGTCAGCGATAACTCTCGAGGGGTGAAGGTATGCCCATTATTTTGAGTTCGTCCGAAGAATGGACAGGAATGTGACGGTGAGGTGCAAACTGTGTCCAGGCCAGAAGCTGTTATCCACTGCTGTAAACACCACGTCAAACCTCAACAAGCACCTGCAAAGAACACATGCTAAGGCGGAACTAACGCACAGCTATTTGTTGTTTGTTTATATCACGTAGTCTGTTCTTCTTCTCTGTTTTCCGGTTGTTGCCTGTTTTGAATGATGAATACACACTACCGCCACCTGCTGGTAAGGAGGGTTATTGCCACTCACGCATGCGCAGTTCGTACGTGCTCTGCTGAAGTCTTTGCGGAGTGTTCCAGTGTGACACATGGCAAGACGCAGGAGAACACGCCGACGCAACAGCGTGAGCAGAGATATACTGTGCAAAATACAGATAGCAGGAGACAGAGGACAGCCGTGGTCAGATAGGAAAACATTCAGGATCTGAACTGAACTAAAGAGAACATTTGAAACTTTAGCAGTCTGCGTGATCTGCCTGTAGGGCGGGGCGGGCCGGCCCTGCGAGTAAAGTAACTAATTACTTTATGTAGAGAGTAACGAAGTAGTGTAATATATTACTTTTTTTTAAAGTAATATGTAATATATTAAAAATGTTTAGTAACGACCCCATCTCTGGTCGAGGCCCAACTGGACGGCCCCGATGACGACCCTGGAGAGGCAATCTGCGACCAGGTTTTGACTTACCAGCGACGTCCTGGATGTCTGTGGTGAATTCCGAGATGTAGGAAAGCTGTCGTTGCTGGCAAGCAGACCAAGGCTCCGCCACCTTGGACACGGCGACCGTGAGTGGCTTGTGGTCAATGAACGCCGTCAATTCACGGCCTTCCAGCAAAAACCGGAAATGCTGGCGGCTGAAGAAGGCGAGTGGTTGCCAGGCGCCCTCCACCCACTGCTCATGCACCGCACCGACGCCGTAGTCCGATGCCGTAGTCCGATGCATCTGTGGTAATGGAGATGGGGGCCATGGATGACGGATGCGCCAACAGGGCCTCAGCCTGAGCCAGCGTGGTCTTGACCTCCTTAAAAGCAACCTCAGCCTCCGCCGTCCAGTCGATCTCCTGGATGGGGGCCTTACTCTTCAATGCCTCATAATGTGGGCGGCAACGGGCGATGAAACGGTGGTAGAAGGTCACCATCCCAGGAACTCACGGAGCGATCAGGCCGTGTGGTGGGCGAGGAAACGCCGTGACAGCCTCAACCTTCACCAGCAGCGGTGCTGCCCCCGCCTTGGTGGCGTGGTGCCCAAGGAAGTCAATGTCAAACACCCCGAACAGACACTTTGCAGGATTAATTATCAACCCGTGTTGGCTGAGCCTCGTGAAAGGGCTCGGAGGTGGGACAGGGTGTTCCTCCTCCTCAGAAGTGCTGGTGACGAGTATGTCGTCCAAGTAGACGAACACAAACGGTAAGGTCCCGCAGCACCGAATCCATCAGGCGCTGGAATGTTTGAGCGGCGTTCTGAGCCCAAAAGGCAGCCGCAGGAACTCAAACAACCCAAATGGTGTTATCACCAGCCGCCGTTTTGGGAATGTCCAGGGGATGCATGAGCACCTGGTGGTATCCACGCACCAGGTCCACCTTAGAAAACACCAGACTACCCGCCAGGTGTGCTGCAAAAGTCCTGAATGTGGCGGCACCGGGTAGCGGTCGGGGGCGTCATTGAGGCGGCGGTAAGTCCCCACATGGGGCCATTAGGCTTGGGGGACAACTTCATTACATGCTACTCAAGCTCAGGGACGTGGGAAGGGGGGGTGCTGCAGCAGCCCCATCTGTGACGGAGAGTTGTACCTGCAACGCCAAAAAGTTCACTAAACAATCAATACAAAAGTTTTATTTTGAGTTACTGTTTTTGAGTTAGCATTTTAGTGTAAGCAGTCTATAAATAATATAGATAATGTGATGTGCTTCTTCTGTTGCTCTGCTATAGAAAATAAGCTTGTCAGTGCAGACAAGATCAGGGATGGGAGTTTTGTGAAAGGAGGATTTAATAGAACTGGCGAAAGGTAGGGGAAACATTTAGGGAGCATGAGAAGTCCCATCAACACACAGGGCCGTCAACAAACTGGCAGCATTAAAAACAAACACAGATGAATGCACTGCTCTCAAAAGCTGTTGCTAAAGACTAAATGACTGCATTTAATATGACGTTATTATACAGGACCAAAGCCCCGAATATTTTTTCTGTAGCCCCGGACAATTCTCCCTCAATAATATAATACATTAACCGTGCTTTACCTGAACCTCATCATGAAAGGACAGCAGAATTGTAATTTCCCGTGTTCAGTGAATGCAACAGAGGCAAGACACCAGTCCAACCAGAGAGTTGAATGGAAATAAACATCTGTCTTATTGGCTCACAGGTACCTATCCTTTGAGCTGTGACAATGTTTAAACAGTCAGTCGGACTCAGAGTTTTTGAAGATGGACATAAGAAAAAAAATTCTTAAAAAAAGACGACAATTCTCAAGTGGTGGCTCACACAACAAACTTAGAGCCACCACTTGCGCCAGGTAAATAAGGTATGTAAATGTCAGTAAACGTCAAAGTTATGCGAACATGTAAGCAAAGCATAAATTACAGCTACGTTGACGTTACTTTGAATCGCGGGGGTAAGCTAAACCGTTAGCAAGTAGCTAAAGCTAGCCAGAGATATTAAATAAACACTTTGTCATACAATCTAAATGTAAGGTCTTTTTAGCGTTACCTGGTGATTTCAAAGAAAGCTCTCTGGGAAATGTTGACTTACTGTCTGTGTTCGACATGAAGCTAGAAGCTACCTTACAGTACACAGTTGATCCTGAGTCCTGTCAGTTAAAGTGTTTCATAGTTAGCTTAGCTAAGCATCAACCTAGCACTGAAATATATGGATGTTATGTGACGGTATTTCTGAGAAAAAGTCAGCTGAAATGGTGGCATAGTTGCCACTGCTTTACGTGCCGAAAGCATGTTTGAACGTATTTGCAGCAGTAAATGTGGCTGTTTGGCCACTGACGTTGCCATAACAACACCTGCATTTAAATGTGCAACCTCTTTTTGAGACAGATTTTTGCATTAAATTATAATTCTTCTGAATGATATTCTTAATGACAGCTAGTTTCTATGTGAACATTATGAGATGGACAGCCAGAGAGAATAAATGAAAAACAGTTGTGAAATACTATCAGCAGGGGCGGAGTGGCAAAGTGGATAGAGTGCTGGACTTCGAATCAGGGGGTAGCAAGTCCGAGTCCCACTGCAGTCAGCAGTCAGGTCGTTGTGTCCCTGGGCAAGACACTTCACCCCAAATTGCTCCTGAGGGGATTGTCCACAGTACTGAATGTATGTAAACCGCTTTGGATAAAAGTGTCTAACAAATGACATGTAATGTAAAATAATAGAGTTTAAAAGGGGAGTGATTTGTAAATATAAGAAAAAGAAAATCTGCTTACAGTTCTGTTTCATCTGGGTGTTGAGAGATGTATCCATAGATCTCTTAATGTTGCTCTCAAAGTGCACCAGATTGATGCTTTTAACTTCAATATTTAAAAATATATATATTCCCCCTCACCCCCTCCCCCCGAACTCTGACTGACTTCCCGCGTCCCTGCTCAAGCTAGAATGATAACAAACCACGGGTGCGCTCCCTAACAGGTCCGTGGCGCAACACACTCTCTATAACAAAGTTAATTATGTCCCGTAATGTTCCACCACTTACTTTAATAACTGATAAATGTGAGTATCGGGTTAACTAACTTTAATAACTGATACATGTGAGTATTGTTAAACCCAATACTCACATTGATCAGTTATTACAGTAAGTTAAACCCAATAATCACATGTATCCGATATTAAAGTAAGTTAAATCCAATACTCACATTTATCAGACCTCCTCACGTGCTGCTTTCTCTCTGAGACCGGAACGACATTTTCTTTGTTTCCTCGTCACTGGCGCGCATTGCATCCTGGGATACGGTGGGCTGCGAGGAAGAGGACTCTTCAAATCCGGGAAACGAAGAAGGCCGCTTTCCAACCCGCCCCTCCCCACTCTCTTCTGTCTGTCCGCAGAATCAGAAGTCCTTTATTGGTCCCACAGAGGGACATTAACATGGTTACAGCAACAGTGGAGATAGATGCTGCTCCCAGACCGTAGTGGAGGAATACAGGGGAGGACTCTCTGCAGTCTTCCCGGACTCAAGCACCAGGCTTCGGCTTCAATAACCCACTCTGAAATGAGGCAGACAGGCAGGCTGTTCCTTGGGAGGCCGCTGTGTTTCCTCAGGGCTTTGTTATACAGCTAACTGGAGACAGACTGATCACTGCTGCTACTCCGGTTCTCTTCCGGACACACACTACGCTCGCTCACTCTCGCTCTACACGTGCACGCGCCACACCTCCCTCTCTCTCTCTTAAAGGGATAGGCGACCCCACTCTGCATCACCCTGCTATTATAAGATAGATTGATTACGTTGCTATGTTTGTTTTTATTAAAAAAATGAATTTTATATTTTGCAAAATCGCAGAGACTAATTCATCAGCGATTCTTTATTAAACTCTGATTTTTACAGTACTGATTAACACTGCATCACATTCATGAATTAGAGTGTGTTTGTATCAGACCTTCATTGTGTCTGCAGTCTGGATCACTACAGCCACATGAGTGACGTCCAGACTCTGGCCATGCTGTGCAGTGTGTTCAGAGCTCAGCCCCCTCAGACGTTTACTCTCTGAACGGACATAACCCCTCTCGTTCCTCCGTCTTCCCCCCTCACCACTCTCGATATGTAACTGTTGGGAAAATACTGTACTCTTTCAATATCAGAGTAGCACATGATAACAAAGGCCCAACTGTAGCTGTGTACATGACAGGATGTATGATTAGATGAAGCTCATGAGATACTGTGTTGAACATACAATAGCTTTGTTCTTATGATTAACATGATGACACAGCCCCTAGGGAGATAGGCATGACTGTCATGTTTATTGCTTAGATAGGCCTTAGCTAATCTGAACTAAGCATAGAATACTGCTTTATATTCCTCCATCTTGTGACTGTGTAACTCCCTCTCTTGTATATCAGCATGTGAAGGACACTGTTCAGGACAACACATCCTCACTCCTAGGTTGGCCTATGTTGACGTTATGTCAAGTCCCCTGTGTCGGCTTTTTCCAACGCAAGGGGGGGGGGCCTTAGCGTCCATTTTCAACGCAAGGGGGGGCCCTTAGCGTCCATTTTCAGCTTTCCGGGATGTCCATATGCTTCTATGGACGCTCATGGAAGCACGGCATTCGTTTGTGTAGGCTGCCCTTAAAGGCAATGTGAGCGTCCATTCTCATTGGATAACGGACAATTGTACACCCGGAAGTAAGTATTCCCCTTACTGTCGATTGATTTTACAGTGATATCTGCACTACTCATCGACTAAAAAACACCAGATTATCCTTGTTAATTACACAACATTGATTGGTTTAAATTGTGTGCAATGCTTTTGTATTTTTCCCCTTCGATTCGGAGAAACAAATATTGTTTCGGAGTAAAGGATGGCAGAAGACACTACACTTTTTTGGCCATTAAAATGCGTTTTGATGTCATTTGATGCGAGAAATATGAGTTGTTATTTCAGATTATGTGTGCAGTGGATGTACATGATCTTTAGTTTGCTAGTTATTACGAAGATTACTTCAGGAAATTGCGTCCATAACGTTTTCATTGTTACCAAGGTGGTTGCTAGGGACGCTGCTATCGATATTATTTCTGTTATGTTGTGTAACTGTTTAATGGTGTTATCTTTATTGCTACCCCCCTTCCCCGTCAATGTATAGTGTTGGTCCACAGCGCAAACATATTAGTTTAACAAAATCCGCATCTAAAGATAGCCTACGTTATTTTCCCCTGTGCAATTCCAGTCTCACATCTCACAGCACATCGTCATTAACAAATAACGGAAACAGACCGAAAACATTTAAAAAAATAAATAATAATAATTTATTCCGAGTGTGCTTGATTTTCTCTTTGGAAGTCATCACATAACGGCATTGTAATACACGGTTCGGCTGCATTAAATATTACATATCTGCCGTAGTTCTGTATTTATAGAGCCCTGATGAGAAGACTTCTAGACAAACATGAGGAACTGAAAACGTGACGTGGATCATAAATATATCAGCCATTAAACAACATCTTACATTTCTTTTCACACAATACGTCTCCTTGCAGTATCAACACTAATTCGGCTGACTTTTATATTTGATCCAATCGGTAGATAGGCTGTATTTACACCATAAAGGTGCACAGCTGATATAAAGGGACACCTAGTGGTTAAAGCATGTTATTGAATTTCATTATTTGTATCATTAGATATTAATAGGATCCCTATAAAGTATATTCATTACTCGTTATTCTCTACTAATAGTTAATTAAAGACTGTATATAATGACTATTTTGAACATCCCTTTCAAGATTTCAATATTTTCTAAGGTTTATTGACATATCATATAGGCCTACACAACTATGGTGTAGTTATGCATTGAATGAAAAACTTGGGTCGCAGGTTCCTCAATAGTGCATTACAAGACATCTATCAATATTTGTGCATACCTCCAGCAATGTTAACTATGTTGAAGCACTTATTTTAACTGATATTATACATAATGTATTATACTCTTATAAGATGTATGTAGATATTTCATCTCCGACCTTGTCAGGTATTGAACAATCAATAAATAAAGAACACAGAATTGTTGAATATAAAACACAGAATTTGTGTGATTATACTAAATGATTTACAAATAAACACCACTGCATATTTAACTGTTACACATGCTGATGTAACGCAAATGTTCCAACTTGGGATCAATAAAGTATATCTTATCTTAAGCTGATCGATGGCTACTGCCATATTTGCAAAATGTGCCTCTGAACCTTAACAAGTGCATGTTTCAGGCTTTTCAATTAATGTAATGTAATGTTATCAATTAACAACAGGGGTCACAAACATAAGACCA